TTGAGCCACAGCGCCACTTCCGCAGTTAGCCCTTTAGTAAGATGCAGTAACAACTTGAGGCCACCACACGGTGCCCTGGAGCCACCTTAACATATCTTGAAGGAGGCATTATTTCAGCACTGCTCTGTAGGAACTTAGAATGGCGATGTTAGCCAGGCTACGCTATTCCACCTGGAGATGAGGGAACAGAGGCAGGTCACGCATCCTCACCTGCGGCAGGGGGGAAGGGCCAGGCCTGAAACCTAAGCAGCCGGGTTGAGACCTGCACTGCTCTGCCCCCCGCACCCCCCACGTCCCCACTCTTGATGGAGGGGGGTCCTGCCATCCAATGATCATTTATATCAGATTCTTAGTGTCCAAAGGGTGTTGGCCAGGGCTTCAGAGACGCCTCTGTGCTTTTACAGCTGCCATGCGCGGTGGGTGCTCCCTGACACCTCACCCCTTTTACTTTGTCATTTGTGTGCCATTCTCTCTTCCAGGAGGTGCTCATCTTTGTACCCCTCCCCAGCACAGGGCTCTGCACTAGATGAAAGTGTGAGGGGTTATTACAAAGCCAGCGTTTGTCTGGGGAGGGGAGGCGGGGGCGTGTTCCTGTTTTCCGATCTAAATCCCTCCCTCCTCCCAAACTGACACTTGCTCACCAAAGGGAACCAACTAGCCTGCATCATACTGCATCTGGTTCTGTTCAAATACCAATCTACGAAAGGGCAATTTCCCAAACAACTGATTCATTTTTCCTTTATTCAGTCAACTTAGTTTCCAAGTTAAGCCTTACAATGGTAATTAGAAATTAGGACAATTAATTTAGAATTTTGTTTTGTTTGGGGAGCTTGTTCTAAGGTAAATGCTTTAGTACTGATACCTGTCATAAAATGGCATAAAAAAAAAAAAAGATCCCATTCTTTAACTGGAAGATGAGACAAGCATCTCACCAAGGAAGTCAAGGTCAAGGGCATGAGTTGAGCTCAAGTGGAGCCATAAGTAGACATTCACATTATCACACGGAAGCTGGGGTCACATCTACAATTTAAAGATCCGGTGTGGAATCAAGAATACATGATGCTACCAAGTGGCGCTGTGGCTCCAGTGGTAAAGCGCTAGCCTTGAGCACAAAGCAGCTCAGGGACAGTGCCCAGGCCGAGTTCAAGCACCACAACCACCACCACCACCAAAATTAAAAAAAAAGAAAACATGATGCCAAAGAAATACTATTTTTTTAAGTAAGCTTTTTGTAAGGTATATATTTTTTTATTAATTGTTCACTATCACACTGTAAAACCTTTTATTACTTTGTGCTTCAGTTTTTAAGAGCTATGTTAAGCATAACCAGCCACCATTCTAGACACAGGGATTCTAATTAGTTCAACTAGAGTTGGTACTGGGATTGGAACATGCACTTCCTAAGCAAGTGCTCTGTCACTGGAGCCTGCCTACCAACCAGCCCTGCTCAGGGTATATTTTCTTAATGTGCTCACTGGACCTTTGACGCTGAATGTTCTAGAACATACTTTGTTAAATGGAAATGAGATTGGGCATTTTGAGTGGATGTTTGCCTTGGGGAGAAGGTATAATTTAATTTTCTAATAACACCTTAAAATGGCAATTGGTAACACATGACTTAATAAGTTAGGATCTTTTTGTTTAGTGAGTTCTGTCTAGCATAAATGTATCGGTATCTAACTATAATATTATGAAACTACAATAAAATGCAAACTTTCTGACTGTTCACTTAACAATTACATAAAGTAATAGTTTATGAACAGAAAGTCTGATCTGTCTTCTAGCAGCGGTGACATTTACTCACTCTGTACTATTGGTAGTTTATAAAAGCATTTCCCTGTTCACATTTCATTACTAGAAAAGTTATATAGTTTCAAAATTATTATTTTTTTTGTTGGTTGTGGGGCCTGAACTCTGGGCCTGGGTGCTGTCTCTCAGCTCTTCAGCTGAAGGCTAGCATTCTACCACTTGAGCCACAGCGCCACTTCCGGCTTTTTCTGCTTATATGGTGCTGAGGAATCGAACCCAGGGCCTCATGCATGTGAGGCAAGCACTCTACCACTGAGCCACCTTCCCAGCCTCTAGTTTTAAAATTATTACTTCATAATAATTTATGAAAAACAAATCTTGAGCTGGGCATTGGTAGCTCACACCTGTAATCCTAGCTACAAAGGAGGCAGGGATCCAGAGGATTTTGGTTTGAGGCCAGCCCAGGCAGAAAAGTTCTCACTAGACTCCATCTCCAAAATAACCAACAAAAAGCCCAGCTAAAGAAATGGATCAAAGGGGGCTGGGAAGGTGGCTCAGTGGTAGAGCGCTTGCCTTGCATGCCTGAGGCCCTGGGTTCAATTCCTCAGCACCACATAAGCAAAAAGA